GATTTATTTAGGATATAGCATCCAAGGTATCTTTTATTTTTATATGGGTAAATTAAAACTCATTTACTGTTATAATTTATCAATTTAAAAGTAGATTCTATTATTCTGGGAGCTATCATTTGGATTTTATGGGAAAAGTGTGGGAAGGAGAGAAAATATTATATTGTCTTTTTATCAAGAAAGCAAACCTATGGATAAACCTTATATTTAGGCAATGTGATCACTGTCCAGGGTTAACCATTTGTCGCTAAGGCAGCTTACAAAAATCTAGTCTTATTACCCAGGAAGAAGCAAATTATCCTACACCAAACATTCATTATTTAGTTTTTAGGATAACCAAACATTATCCTACACCAAACATTTATTATCTACATACTGTTGTCAGAGACAGAACAAGGCTCTCAATGTCCAAGAAAATTAAGACACACATTCTCCAACTAGCCCATGGGAAGGAATGCACACATATCAATACAAGTACAGTGGAAATGTTTACTTGATAAGGTGATTCCACTTCAGTTCAGTTCACTCACTCAGTCATGTCCAACTCTTTGTGACCCCATGAACCACAGCATGCCAGGCCTCCCTATCCATCACCAACTCCCAAAGTTCACCCAAAACCATGTCCATTGAGTCAGTGATGCCATGCAACCATCTCATCCTCTGTCATCCCCTTCTCCTCCTGCCCTCAATCTTTCCCAGCATCAGGGTCTTTTCAAATGAGTCAGCTCTTCACATCAGGGGGCCAAAGTATTGGAGTTTCAGCTTCAGCATCATCTTCTACTTATAAGGGTGCAAATAAATCAATGGAGGCTCTCAGAGGGAATATCTGATTTAATTTTGACAGATGAATACAAATATTCAGGTCAGGCCCAGGGATAGAGGCCTCACTGCTAAGAAAGAAAAAAGTTTGAAGGTGCAATATTATAATGTAAGATTAAACTTTAAGGTAAGCTCAGGTTTTCAAAGTTTAAAAACCTAATCTCATAAAAGGACTTATATACCAGATACTACTGGTTCTTAGTGGTCATCTCCTTCCCTAGTAAATAAACTTTAGCTATCTAAGTTTGTCCTTTATAGTGAGACTGGTTTTAAGTTGACTTGGGGTTAGTTATCCACACATGACATTCTCACTTCTCTATTTAGGAAGTTGACAGTGTCTTCTTATGAATACTCTAGGGGAGAGGAGATTCAGGTTTATGTTTGAAGAGTTTTGATCCAATAAAGAAATCATCTAGATATAAGGCTCCTTTGTCATCCATTTTTTTCTTAGCCAACCTCCATCTGTCTTGTGACCTAGTCATTACTTTATGAACTTCCTATAAAGAGCGAACAGGGAGAAAAGAATGAGGAGACACACTAATTCATCTCAGTTGTTAGCAGTGCTAGGGCAATTTTTATAAGGTAGACTATACAGATACCATCTGAGATTAGGTTGGATTGTGTTTGTGGATTTCATTCACCTTCTTTGCCTGTTTCTCTGGATAGCGTTAGTGAGAGAGTTAGCCACAGTGCTGGTTTTCAGTATAATAATTTCTAGAGAGTGATCATTAAACTCTACATGGTTAAGAATGATAATCAGAGAGTATCATCTTAAAAGCATATGTAGCAGACATAGAGACTGATAAGAGTGTGAGGTATGAGGGAAGGTACTAGTGGAGGTGATGGAATTCCAGTGGAGCTATTTCAAATCCTGAAAGATGATGCTGTGAAAGCGCTGCACTCAATATGCCAGCAAATCTGGAAAACTCAGCAGTGGCCACAGGACTGGAAAAGGTCAGTTTTCATCCAATCACAAAGAAATGCATTGCCAAAGAGTGTTCAAACTACCGCACAATTGCACTCATCTCACACGCTAGTAAAATAATACTTAAAATTCTCCAAGCCAGGCTTCAGCAATGCATGAACTGTGAACTTCCAGATGTCCAAGCTGGTTTTAGAAAAGGCAGAGGAGCAAGAGATCAAATTGTCAACATCCACTGGATTATCAAAAAAGCAAAAGAGTTCCAGAAAAACATCTATTTCTGCTTTATTGACTATGCCAAAGCCTTCGACAGTGTAGATCACAATAAAATGTGGAAAATTCTGAAGGAGATGGGAATACCAGACCACCTGACCTGCCTTTTGAGAAACCTGTATGCAGGTCAAGAAGCAACAGTTAGAACTGGACATGGAACAACAGACTGGTTCTAAATAGGAAAAGGAGTGCATCAAGGCTGTATATTGTCACCCTGCTCATTTAACTTATATGCAGAGTACATCATGAGAAATGCTGGGCTGGAAGTAGCACAAGCTGGAATCAAGATTGCCGGGAGAAATGTCAATAACCTCAGATATGCAGATGACACCACCCTTATGGCAGAAAGTGAAGAACTACTGAAGGGCCTCTTGATGAAAGTGAAAGAGGAGAGTGAAAAAGTTGGCTTAAAGCTCAACATTCAGAAAACTAAGATCATGGCATCTGGTCCCATCACTTCATGGCAAATAGATGGGGAAACAGTGGAAACAGTGGCTGACTTTATTTTTTTGGGCTCCAAAATCACTGCAGATGGTGATTGCAGCCATGAAATTAAAAGACGCTTACTCCTTGGAAGGAAAGTTATGACCAACCTAGACAGCATATTAAAAAGCAGAGACATTACTTTGCCAACAAAGGTCCATCTAGTCAAAGCTATGGTTTTTCCAGTAGTCATGTATGGATGTGAGAGTTGGACTATAAAGAAAGCTGAGTGCCAAAGAATTGATGCTTTTGAACTGTGGTGTTGGAGAAAACTCTTGAGAGTCTCTTGTACTGCAAGGAGATCCAACCAGCCCATCCTAAAGGATATCAATCCTGGATGTTCATTGGAAGGACTGATGTTGAAACTGAAACTCCAATACTTTGGCCACCTTATGCGGAGAGCTTACTCATTTGAAAAGACCCTGATACTGGGAGGGATTGAGGGCAGGAGGAGAAGGGGACGACAGAGTGTGAGATGGCACCACTGACTCAATGGACATGTGTTTGGGTGGACTCCCGGAGTTGGTGATGGACAGGGAGGCCTGGCGTGCTGCGGTTCATGGGGTCACACAGAGTCAGACATGACTGACCAACTGAACTGAACTGAACTCTTAAAGACTACCAAATTATGACCCTGCCCCTTTCTCACCCAGGTCTAGATGAAGAACTAAGATATAGAGTATATAAGTGAACTGTTCAAAGTTAGATGATTTGAATTGTGTGTGCATGTTTTCATGTTTGTAATTTTCTCTTTTGTTTTATTTCATGCTTTAGACTAAGCAAGTCCATAAATCCTTACACACATTCACCTTGTTCAATCATTGAATTTATAAGGTAGAAAAGTAGTAGAACACTAATAGGAGTAACTTTTAAGATGCTTTCATTTTCTTTCAGTGGTAAATCATTTAAGTTATCATTCCTTCTCATGAGAACAATCAAATTAATTGCTGAATTAATAGTAAATTATTTGTAAGCATTAGCATGGGATTCCTTTGCAGATAATTAAGAATAATTACCTGGTTTCAATGGCCCTTCTTGATCATCTAGAGGCAATTTCATATAATTAAAATGTAAAAATACTTTATAAGTATTGAGAGATTATCCAACTATAAAGTCACATAAATAGTAAATGTGTTTCAATGGCTCCAAACATTTGAAAATAGAAGAGAATTTTGTAGCATTTTTCTATGTATTTCAGTGTATTGTAACATTATCATTTTGCTTAGCAGGCAAAATTAAGTTTACAGGTTGTGTTCTTGCTATAGTATCTGAAAAGGTAAAGGAATAAAAGTTTTAAAAATCCCAAATATGGCAGTGATGGTTTGATGACATGAATTCAGAGACTTTTCTCTTTCCTGTGGTTTAAACACCTATGTGCCTCTAGATTTCTGGATCTGAATTATGCTCTCTTCACCACATACAATGGTGTTACCTGAACAACCACTGGGTCAAATATATACCAGAATTTTCAGCAAGTGACACAGGAAGTAGAAATCATGATCTGTTATGTCCTCAAAGAATTTATAAAGAAAAGGAGGAGATGGAGTAATAAAGAAACAGAGAATGATCACATAAAGGCAGATGTAACATATACATTTATGTTTGGAATCAAATACTGTATAGTAATTCTTGAACATGGGTGGAAGTTTGCTTAGGAAGGAAGAGAAGAACTTGTCATTATTAAAAGAAAGACTGTCAATGATGAAGTCTTGATTAGTGTGCTGAAGAAGAAGTAGGAGGAGGATAGGATATAGGACATGGGGAAGGAGATTATTCTAATAGGGAGAGCTTCTGACGGTCCTCTGTGAGTAGAGTAGATGGATGACAGGTGGCAGGCAGGTTTACCTGGCTCAAGAATGTCATATGAATTGAGGCGATAAGAGGACATGTAGACCCATAAGTAAAATGATTTTTGCGGGAGATTTTTGAAGTTCCTATTTATACATTTATTTTGCTGAAAGGGCAACAGCATGAAGTGACTAATCTTCTATGGATGAGAGGGCCTCCAAAATAAGAGGAAAGTTTTGTTATATTGGCAATATTGATTTCATAATTCCCTCTCTTTGTTCTGCTTTTAAAAAATATTTTCTCATTAAAGTGTTCTGTGTGGTTATTTCTTTGGGGCTAGACTACCCGGAGGCAGAAGGGACATTGTCTTCCTTTTCTCATTCATTTATACATTCAAAATGCATTCATCTCTTGCTACATGGCAAATGGATTTGAGAGTACAGAGTGTGTTCAGTGGGTAAAAATGGTCCCCACGTGCCTAATTATTCATCATAATGTAGAACAAGAAAGAGTTGTCAGGTAGAAAAACCAGAAACTACTTACATTGAATCCCATAATGACTTTATTTTCTAAATATTCTGTTTCATACTGTCTTCAATAGTCTCTTCCCTGTAGGTGTTGCACGTGTGCCTCTATGTATACAGATAAGCACATTCAGTTTATCAACAAACACATGAGTTCCTTTCTAACTCTGTCTGCTCTTTGATTTTCACAGTCGTGTGATCCTCACACGACGCAGAGAAGAACCCGTCACCTGCTGAGGCCCTCCGTGAGCTCGAGGACGTGTGCTGAAGATTCACAGGTGCGGCCCTGCCTCCTCAATGAAAATTGCTTCCAGTTCCAGTACAATCTAACAGGTATGGCTGTAAACCACAGACCACAGAATCATGCTGTCCTAGAATGCAGCTCTTTCATGGCTTTCATTATTTCAAGATACTAAAGCTTGTGATGTACTTGCTCTACGGGGCTCACCAAGGATAAATGGTAGACCTGACTGGACAGGGATATTCTAGAGACCCCCTTATTCAGACACAGCGTAGCACTGTTTTCAGTGTCTGAAACTAAAGGACTGTATAATTCCATTGATCTGTCTCTGCAGCAGTGATACACGGAATGCCACAAAATGCGGAATCAGGCTAAGTCTCAGCATTGGCTTCAGTACTGATAACCAAGTGGCCAGCTGCCTGAAGGGGCAAAACAGTTGCCTTTTTCTGAAACAAATTTTCCACTGAGGTCACAGTGGCACTGCTGAGATTTCTCATGTAGAAAGCCTCTAGTAAATTCCGTGAGACGGTCTTTATAGGTGAGAGTTGACCTGTTGTGTTTGTCCTTTTTCTTTCATGAAACGTCCTTTAGATCATTAGTTTTCATACTAATTTTCCAAAAATACAACAAAATTTGCTTTACTGAAAAAGCATGTCTTTAAAATGCTGATTTTGCTATACATGGACTAGCTCTTCTTATTTAACTTTTAGATCATCTACCAAATATGAAAAATCTTCTTAGAGAGCTTCTCACTGTATATGATTGAGGATCTCTTTTTCTACCCACACTAAAATAAAATGTTTTAAAAGAATTAGTTATGGGATGATTTATTCTAACTCTTGCTGTTGAGTTTGTAATACAGTTAGCCAAATTTACTAAACCTCTCGTGAGAGAATAATTTTATTAAAGTGAGAGTTTTCAAAATGGCCCTTTTCATCATGACTTCTTTCCCTTTTTGGTTACCTTTCTTGGCTCCACTGTACCAAATATACCAAATGGTTTAAATAATTATATTTATTCATTGAAAATATCTTCAAGTTGATATCACAGACTAGCATCATTTCTGTATTTTCTTTTCTTTCTCAATTACACCCAGCAAATAGATGATTCCAAACTGGTTGTCCTTTGTGCTTAGTTTTTTTTCCTTTTCCTACCTCAGCCAACTATGAGATGATTTCTATAAACTATTTGGCTTCTGACTTCAAGAAAGCAAATTCACTTCTATTTGGTGATCTGATTGATTATTTTGTAACTAAAGAATTGCATAATGCTTAATGAAGCCACATAGAAATGGTTTTAGGATTCTGTGTACACTATTCTCCACCAATGCAGAGAATCAAAGGTTTGTTGTCTTTTGCTCACATGGTCATAACTTTGAAACTCACTGTGGCCACCCTATGCTCGTAGAGTGGAGCATATGCCAGCTGAGTGAAAATGCAACCTGTGGGCAAGGCATCAGGACCCGCCTTCTGAGCTGTGTGCGCAGTGATGGCAAACCCGTTGCCATGGACGAATGCGAGCAGGTAAGTTGTGTGTGTTTGTACCCCACACCCATGGCTTTGTTTATTTATTTATTTTTTTAAAAGTGGTCTGCAACCTTCACAGTGCTCACTATAAATGACCCTCCCAATTTCTTCTCATCACAGCTTAGATTCAATTAGAGTAAGAGGCACTAGTATTATACAGTTACACCTCACAAGTTTGAACTTAGTTAAAATGACAGGAAAGGTCATTTTGTATTGGAGAAATGGGTTCATTAAAAATATAGTTCTTCATTATTTCTAAGAACTTAGTTAGATGCACTTGCTTGCCAACTAACAATTAACATCAATTGACTCTAAAATCGATTCTTGGTATGGGGCAGATGATTCAGTTTGCCTAAGTAGGAAACACTGTCCCTTGCATGGAAGATGCACAGTGATACTTGCTGTTAGAATACTCTGCTAATTTGCTTAGCAAATTTTTGCGAGGTAATAAACACAGTGCATTTTTCTTCTTAAAATAAACTAAATGTCTCTCTATCAAGTTGGGTAGAGTTGGTCGGTTTTGAATTTTTGTAATTTTATATTTTTCCCCATCACAAAATATGTGGAATTTGGACAAAAGCTATAATCAGATCTCTTCCCAAAAAGTTGACATTTCCTCCCCAACATATAAGTGAAATGCACTATGATGGCAGTTTAGAAACAAAGATGACCATATGCTATCACATTATAAGAATCACTAAAACAATCTTTGGAATAATTGGAAATGTGTGGGGTCAGTGAACTCAGGTTTCACGGGAATGTCTTTAGCAAACTGGCAAAATAAAAGTTGTCTCATTCTCCTTAGGTAAGTAGAGTCCACAAGTGAAAATTAAAATTATCAGAACAAAACCTCCTCACTGATCCTGAGTTAACTTTTTAACTCAGTTAATTATTAACTGAGTTAATAATTAAGTATTACCATAATATCTTTTCAACCAACAGTATCACCATGGACCAACAGTACCCCTAAAACTAGACCATGTAAAATCAGATGTTCCTTTTAATGAAATTCTGAGACTGGTTAATACAGAATTCTCTCTAACAAGTGTCAGTGATTTATTTTAACATTTTGTTTCATCTCCCTATCAAGACTGTTGTCTGCTTCAAGAAAAATAAATCACCAACCTACAACAACTCAAATAAGTCGAAAATGTACATTTAGTGTACATAGTAAATCTTTCCTTTTGATATAAAAGCAGTATAAACTATTCATTGATAGAAAAATTAGTTTCTCTTCTTTCCAAATACCACATGTTCAACAAATATTTAAAGTCCCAAATTATTAACCTAAACAGAATACCCACATATCTCAGATGGATCAAAGATCTTATGTGGTCATTTCTAGTTTACCCATGTAGTAAGTGATCATGCTGTAATCAATAATTTTAGCTCAGTATGGACATTGCTAACATTTAACATATATTGAATGTTAGCATTTTCCTCAATCACACAATGTGCAATTCCTAAAACTGAATATTTTGGTATTCTTTCTGTGTCTCTTGGATGATTTACTCTTTCACTAAGACCTCTTCTACACTGGCCATTAGAAAATGTGTGATTTTGCCTAGATGTGGGTTTAAGAGAGGACAAGAGGAAAAGAAGTGGTATCATTAACTTTTCCTTTGAATAAGATCATGTTTATGTTTTTAGCTAGTCAGTCTTTTTGTGAACTTTAGATGGGCTGTTGATTTCAATTTTATTCTTCTACTTACTGCTTAGCCTAGGTTGCTGTTAGTTTGAGCTCTCTATATACTGCTGGTCTATCCAGAGGGCAAGATGCCTGAATTTAGCACTGAGGCATCCCTCTGGTTCCTTGCTGGCTGAGTGACAGGACAGATCTCTGTGTAACATAATTGCATGCTTTCCTGGTCCCTTAAATGTGGGTCTATTCTAAAGTTGAAGGTTTTATCAAAAGAAATTTGGACTGACAAGTTTCTATGTCATGAAGTAAGGATCATCATTTTTTTAAACTTGCCATCAGTTTCTATAAGCCAGGCTATTTTTCTTACAAAGACATAGCAAAATTATTCTCACAGAATAGAGATTATTATCCCACAAAAGGATAGTGATTTGATTTGACGTTGCGATGAATTCTCCAGTACAATCATATTTCCTTCCCGTCTGCAGCGTAACTTGGAGAAGCCACAGAGGATGAACCGTCACTGCCTGGTGGAGTGTGTGGTCAACTGTCAGCTCTCGGGATGGACAGCTTGGACAGAGTGCTCACAGACTTGTGGCCTCAGAGGTATGTGGCTTTCCTCTGTTGGTTTCCATGAAACAGTTCAGCTTTTAAGTATCTCTTTGTATGCCATAGCTTGATAAATGGGCGTAAGGCATGTTGGCCACATGAGGCTGACCCAGGGGAGCAGAGAAAGAGAGCCTGACTTCTAAACAGTCCTTTTGTTCTATTGTATTTTATTTATTGAAGTACCCTTCACTTACAGTTCTGTGTCAATGTCTGCTATACAGCAAGGCGACTCAGTTATACACATATGAATATTCTTTTATTTTTTAATATTCTTTTCCATTGGGGCTTATCATGGGATATTGAATATAGCTCCCTGTGCTATACAGTAGTAAGTTGTTGCTTATGCATTCCATGTATAATAATTTATCTCTGCTGATCCCAAACTCCCACCCCTTCCCTCCCAAACTCCCTTCCCCTTGGCAACCACAAATCTGATCTCTAAGTTCATTTGTGTCATATTTTAGATTCCATATACAAGTGATATCATATGGTATTTGTCTTCCTCTTTCTCATTTACTTCACTTAGTATGATAATCTCAAGTTGTATCCATGTTGCTGCATGTGGCATTATTTTGTTCTTTTTTATGGCTGAGTAGTACAAGGCAGAAGGTGAAGAACTGGCCTGGTAACAGTGGCAGACACCAGAGGGGGCGCTGGCCCTGTGAGATGGTGTTTATTCTGAAGGTCCTAAGTTCAGCCAACTCAAAAAATGTTGGCCTCCACGGTTTTTGGAAGACATGTGTGTTCAATAAGTCGAACAGGCTCCTGTTTCAGGCAAACCCCTAAGAACAGTGGCTTTGTACCATACTGTGCTGTGCTTAGTCGCTCAGCCTTTCCGACTCCTTGTGACCCCATGGACTGTAGCCTCCCAGGCTCCTCTGTCCATGGGGATTCTACAGGCAAGAATACTAGAGTGGGTTGCCATGTTCTCCTCCAAGAGATCTTCCCAACCCAGGAACCGAACCCTGGTCTCCCACATTGCAGGCAGATTCTTTACCATCTGAGTCACCAGGGAAGCCCAGAACTGGAGTAGGTAGCGTATCCCTTCTCCAGGGACTCTTCGTGACCCAGGAATTGAACCAGTGTCTCCTGCATTGCAGGCAGAATCTTTACCAGCTGAGCTATCAGGGAAGCCCAGAACTGGAGTAGGTAGCGTATCCCTTCTCCAGGTACTCTTCGTGACCCAGGAATTGAACCAGTGTCTCCTGCATTGCAGGCAGATTCTTTACCAGCTGAGCTACCAGGGAAGCCCCTAGTATCATAGGTTAGAGAGTAATTTTTCACTCACATAAAGGGAGGGTTAGTTTCTGCTTCACAAAGTCCATCAAGAACACAGGTTGATGGAGGCCCTACCACTTTAACATAATCAAGTTTTTCTGGAAGGTGATATCAAGCTGGTCCTGTGGAGGTTTTTATGGACCAGGGCAGAAGTTGTATATATCTCTACTATCTTTATTTTACTGAATAATATTTGGCCCCATTTCTCCAGTTCAGTGCAAGATAGCAGAGCAGGAAATGTAGTTTCTGGATGACCAGTCATTTCTTAGCAACAGTATTATGGAGGATACAGTGCCTGTGAAGGAAAGGGAGGAGAAACATTTGCTGAACAAACAGAAATTAACACCAAAGTTCCCAAGTAAGTAATGCACAATGGCAGGGAGTGCAGAGGTGACTGGTGCTCCGGAGCTAGGTAAATGGCAACATGGATGGCACTGGAGCCATTAGGCTGAAGCAGGGACCAAGACATGTGCGCATGTAAAGAGAACCAGGAGAGTGTACCAGGAAAGCGCAGAGCTCGGGTTTAGGATAGGTTTCTGGTCCCAGAAAAAGAGCTACAGTTTATCTAAGTAAATGACAGAAGTTTGGAGTAGGGACCTAGGGAAAATCCTGCTATCTAGGTAATCACAACGTAGAGGAGAAGGAAGAACTGCATGTTGCAGAAATCATGGAATCTGGTAGGTAGATGGGCTTAAAAACCCTGGACCTGATCACCAAACAAAGACAGTTGGAAGGAATTTTTTAGACGCTCTGTGACTGGACCACTGGCACTGGGATATGGGCTCATCTCTAAGCTACTCACAAATGAATATGCTGGGACTATCAGTACTTCTCTGCCTTCGTTGGGATTGTCAGCTACAGCACGGAAGAGGGACTCCTCTGTGAACTCAGCTCTCAGAGCCGAGAGAGAACAGAGCTGACAGCAGTACTCAGGATGTGTGGTAGGAAAACGTAGCTAAGGAAATGAAGTTTACTTCCCCAAAGAGCATCACTCGAAATGAAAATATGAGGCTCACGATGTCTGGTGATAACATGCCATTTCCTGCACATATGAGAGCCTGTAGAAGCACATCAGGAAACCAAGTGGTAAATCTTATGACCACGATTTCAGTGATTGACCTAAACTCTTTTCTCAATTATTCTGATTGGCAGCATGGTGTAGTTTCCAGTTAGGCATCCACTTTAAGGTTGGGTAAATCCAGGTTTGAATTGTCGCTTTTTAGGCAAATGACTTACTCTGAGTCTTAGCTGCTTCATCTCTCAAATGGAATTCATGCACATTAAAGGCTTTGTTTAGGACTTGAGAATTAAGTGCTATGAAGTATATGTAGCCGTAGAGTACAGTACCTGACACAGCATGGGTGTCTATTATGTGTTAATTTTCATCTCCACCTTCCTACCCACCAGCAGTAAAGAGTTTTAGCAGAGACTCCCTCAGATTGTGTAAAGATTATCCCACAGACTCAGTTTCTCTCATCATCTACTCTCACATCTCATCCTTCACCCCACTCAAAGTCCATACATTAAAATCACAACCTAAGCAATGTTTTGAACATGCAAATCTGAATAATTGTTTTTCTACTGACTTGAGTCATTTATCCATTAAATAAATTCTAATGTGCCATTCATAGTACAATGAGTTGGATGTAAAGCAGTGAGGGGAAAAAAGACAATTTCCTTATTCCCATAATCCCCTAATAGCTACAATCTAGTTGAGGGACAACAGACAGCAAGCAAATCAGTAATAATATGTGGAAACAAATGCACTGACACCACACTAATTATTTGCATTAGCAATGTGAATAACTGGTTGCTACCCTGTTCAGGGTGGTCCACCCTGATTATCCCACAGCCAGGAGCCTTGTAGTCTTATGCTCATGGGCCTCTGCCAGGAGGCATGACTCTCAGAGTGGTAAAGCGTAGCATAAAAAAGCAGAGAAAGGATGAAGTCCTACGGTGAGCACAGACCACAGGACCTGTAGGATCTCACAGTGCCTGTCTCTCTGCTCCCACCACCCTCCGTTATCATGTTGGATCTCTCTGCTGCAACACAGTATATTTCATTCATAATCTTGAGTGTCTGCTTCCTTACCTTTTGCCTCCCATGGAATATCTCACTGCTACCCCCACTATCACTCACTACTACTTTAATATGTATAAATTGGACCAATTTTCATATCTGTCTAAGGAGTCAGTGATCTCGTTTGAGTTCTTCATGGGTGAACCCCTCTAGTTCCCAGCAAACACACTGCCTGCACATCAGGGGAAGCTCTGCTAACATTCGTCACTGCCCATGCGGTTCCGTGGGCTTCCCAGGTGGTGCAGTGGTAAACTATCCACCTTCCAGTGCAGGAGACGCAGGGGACGTGGGCTCGATCCCTGGGCCAGGAAGATCCCCTTGAGAAGGCGTGGCAACCCCCTCCAGTATTCTTGACAAGAGAATCCCATGGACAGAGGAACCTGGAGGGCCACAGTCCATGGAGTCACAAAGAGTTGGACACGACTGTGTGATTGAGTACACACAGCGGGTTCTGGACCACAGGGGGAACAAAGCTGGAAGGGGAAGAGCTTGCAGACTGGATCACAAGCCCAAAGGCAGTCAAACCCTGCTAGTGGTTATCCTCCTCTCTCTCTAACTGACATCGTAAGTCTTAGGTATCATTAGTCCAGAATGTGTTTGATGCAAGGAGGCAGATCTATTTATTATTATTTTTGTCCCCAAATCTTAATTCTGCCACTGTACAAAGTCAGTGAAACATGACAGATTTTCATGTTATGCTGATACACAACCTTTGAAAATAGGACCCCAAATTGTAAGTTTGGTACCATAAAATATTATTTTGATTTTAAGGAGTTCTGTTAGTACTGTGGACTCATCAGACCTTGTTAGCCTAGTAGAAAAACAAAAACAAACAAGGGGAAGTCCTCTCCAAGTCTGAATCCCACTATTGGAGATTTCTAGGCAATTAGAGTTTGAACTTAAATTCATCTTTTCTAGTCTTTAGAGTAATAAACAATCAAAAGTTCCCTAAGGAAAGTCTCTGTGTGAACTGAGGCACAGAATGAATTGCATAAAGCACTTGTAAGTCACGTGATAGTTTCTACTGGCATATAAATATAGCACTAGTTACAAATCATTTCTAGCTAGCATCTAAGGGTCTGCTAGGATAACTTCTTGAGAATCCTTTCTTGACTTTTAGATGCTTTGATCTCCTAAATTAAGATGTAATAGTGTCTTTTAAAAAAGTATTCCATAATCCTGATATTTGGCAAACCCTCCAGGATTCTAAAGGTATATGTATTCCATTTTCTTTCTTTATTCAACCAAAATTTATAAAGTTTACACCTAGTATCCTGACACAAACTGGTGTATACTTTCATTGTCAGAAGTGATAGTGTGGAAAATAAATTATATGGAGATGCTCCTATTCTCACTTCTGTTCTGGAAGGCAGGGCTGTAGAGAAGTTTACTCACATATTTCACAACTACTCATTGGAAGTTTCCCCAAAGCCAGGCATTCTCCCAGGAGCTGAAAACACATGTGTATAGAAAGGATAAGATCCCAGGGAAACAAAGTCCCCTGACTTCATAAAGCTAATATTCTAGTAGAGAACTAGATGGTGGTGATAAAGAGAGGCAGATGGCAAATAAATGAGTAAATATGCACAAAAGTAACACACATCAATAAATGCGATGTTAAAACAAAAAAGTCATGAGA